ATAATGCGATGACATTTTTACGAGAAAATTAATGTTTGCCATATGTCTAACTCCTCTTTTACAGTATATACCAGGCAAAGGGCCCTGCAAGAAGCTTTGCGCATGATAGGGGGCGAAATGGCACTTGAATGAAACATAGGAACGAGCGTAGGCCAGCAGAGGAGGGGGAGGAGAGGGGAGTAGAGGCGAAGGGCTGGCGCGGGCTGGTGACACTGGCATCTCGTCACGGCCCGGTGGACGCATGTCGACGCGTCGCTGCACCGCGCGAGATCCCATAGTTCTGCAGATAAGTCCACTCTTCTTCCCCACCCCCATCTTCCACCACCCGCTCCGTCAGCTCGTTCTGCCGTATTGTTGCATCGTTACTCAATTCGTCGCAGCAGATATCGTTTGGACGAGGCGGGCGAGGGGGTGAGAGAAGGAAAGATGGAAAAAGAGAATAGGGCGGGAATGCAGAGAGTGCGACGTCGGTGGTAGAGGGGAGCAGAGATGCGGCGACCTCTCAAAGAGCAAGTTGGGGAAAACTGCACATATTTTCGCACAGTCCTGAAGAAGGATGCTGTCTATCAAGAGTCCTTCGATATCTTTTCATACCTGTTTTTTTCCCCGACTGGCGGCGCCTTAGTGTCACCCACCCACCCACCGCTGGCACCGTTCCCCAGCCGGCCGGCCGGCCGGCCCAGCCTGTCCCTGCCCTCGTTTTGCAGAGAGGACGTCATTTGGACTACGACGCTGGACACCACTTTCCAAAACGGAGAAAAAAAAACTTTCGATGTCGGCTTGCGGTGCGGCTGACACCAAGGACGAGCGGAAATCCATCTTTATTCCTTTTGGCACACAAAAATTGGCTGGGTTACCTGAATTATTGCTCGTTCTCAGTGAGTGGAAGTAAGACTTTCGCTCCGCAAGGAATGAAAACTGACTTCAAGCGTCTATTGGAGACTCTACGGCTTCACCAGGGTGAACATGAGGCTCGGAATTTTCATGCCAGCCCTGGAAAAATTAAAGAACTCTGAAAATCCAACTGTGAGCATTGAAAAGAGGAAATTTTGATAAAATTCCGGAAACTTCCTACATTTAAGAAAAAAACTCCTCAGATTTTGAGGGAGTCTCACAAAATATGTGAATTTCCCTTATTGTTTGAGAAGATTTCCAAAAAATTTGGACTTTTTCCTGCAAGTTCCCCTATTCCTCAAAAAAAAAAAAAAGAAGACGTTGTTATCACTGCGCGCGATACTGTTGGATTTTCCGGGTTTTACAGACGGACGTGCGCACCACAAAAGCTCGGGAGTAACGGGCAACATCTTTAAAAAATGCTCCTCAAAATTCATCAAAAATACTGATAAGGGAAGTCCTTGCCCTTGGCCCACCCCACCCGTTATACCACTCACTGCACTGGGCTGCGCTCGGATCACACCAGGCCAGGCGGTGACGAAATACCGACCGGAGACCTCGACGCAAGCGCGAGGCATATAACTGTTACATCCGGACCAGTTCCTCGGATTTTTTTGTGTGTTTTTTTTTTCGGGAGGAACCGGACGGTAGCGGTGCAGGCCACACACACACACAAATACACACACGCGCCACGCAAATGTGCGGCGGGGCTCACGCACACACACGCGCACGCGCACACACACAAGACAGATCCTTGCAGGCAGATCTGGCAGATGACCAGAAACAGGTGCACCGCGTCCCGTTAGGACTTGCCGGCCAAAAGCCCCTCGAAGCTGGAAGGGGTTCGCGAGAGAAGGCAGTTCGTTGGGTCCTGAGCCGCTCACCAACACCACCTCTTCCCGCGACGGCCATCTCCTCTTTCATCACCGTAGTGTCAGGGTCAAGGTCATCGTTGCAAAGGAACAAATCGCAAGAAACACTCTTATGTGAGAAAAGGGCGTTTTCCATGTTCAACGGCGGAAAATAAAGAACGCATAGCGCACGCTTCCTCGACAGATGGCGACGACCCGTCTCGCAACACGCACAAACTAATAGAAAAAAAAAAAGATGTACCGCTGAAAAGCCAGAGCAAACGAGAGGGAGGGGAGAGAAGACTTACAGAAGATTGCTCCTCAAAACCGTGACCGTCCCGGCGCCGCCGTACATTACATGAGGGCCAGGACAATTACAGGAGGAAACTGCATTTCTCAGCTTGTGCCGGCTGCACCGCAAAAAAACAATGATAAAAATAACAAGTTAATGTCTTAGTTGCTTCAGGCCCCTCCCCCTTCCTACACACAGACAAAGCTCCCCTCCCCCCCCCCCCTTTCCGGCACCAACACACACCAGGACGAACCTGGGGGCAAACAAACTCTCACACGGGGCTGCTAGGTTCCTGTCATTTCTAGCAGTGTACTCTACGAATACATTACAACAAAGCCGCACCTGCTAAAAACTACGTCGTAAATTTGATTGAAAAGAAACTTGCGTTTGCAGCGTGTTTCGTGCTTTTTTGCGAGTAGAGGAGCTAGAGCTGCCGTGCCAGAGGCTTGATGGTATGGATGTGGCGCCAACCCCCCACCCCGCTTGATACTTGGCATGAAGCCTGCCTTAATGCAACAAAATATTTATTTTCCGCACCTGCTTGCATCGATCACTTTGCAAGCTAAATCACACAACATTTCTATCGAGACGCAGTCGCGAGAAAAAG